TGCAAGATGCAATGAAATGGACTGAAATGCAGCGAGCGAAACGAATGAATGCGATGCACTCATCGAAGAAGGCTGGTGGAATCTGGGACTTGTTAGTTTCATTGATTCTTTTCTTGATATCGCTGTCATTGCCGTTATCCTTAGTATCGTTCATCGTTACTAATTGTTGTCACTTTAAAGAATTCTTTTGAGAAATCATTTATGAATTATTGTATGCCACTAAAAAGTTGTTATTTTTTTGTTGCTTATCAACAGATTGAAAGATATTCGTATATTCATGCAATTTTAGTTTCTCGGGATTATTTTCACACGAAACCCCTCAACAAACGCATCGACGCCATCGAAGATCAGCTGGTGGTGGAAGTGATCCTTTGTCACGAAGAAAACCCGTGAAGAGTGTTGATTTCATGGATGCTGATTAGTAAATTCTCATTATATCGCATTCATCCACCATTCTTATTACTTTTCCTTGTTCACTTTTTCAAGTAATTAAAATCGATTCTGATTATACTCTCGACTCTATTTTTCTGATGTTTACTTTGCATTGTCCTTATGCGATCTCACAGTCCTACTGAACAATCTGCGAACAACAACGCCCAGCCAAATGCTAACCCATTGAACTGAATATCACTTACTGAAATCCTTCAACAGCTCCCCCTCAATACTTATTGCGTTAGAATCATTTCCTGAATCCGTGATCTCGTTTCGTAAAGCTGTCACANTGAAATTGAATAAGAATCTATGATTTTAGTGCATCAGAGCGACGTGCCGCAGAAAGACGTCAACAGTACAAAATCGTACGTGAACATATGATGAAAGAGGATGACGGTCGTTTGCATGCGTACGGTTGGTCATTACCAGCAACTATGGATGAATCCAGTGATAACACCTCTATCCCTGTTCCCGTCTTCTGCCGTCCTCTCATCGATATGGAACCGTCGCTAAAGGTTATTTATCACTCAAAGTGATTCCCGTTGAATTCAGCAGTTGAATCAACTTTTGAAATGCTGACTGATTTGTATTCACGTCAGCATGAATGCGTACAATGATTATGACATATTCGGAAAGTGAAATTTATTCTATGGAACTTTGTCCAGTATTTATCCAGAATTGCTGTATTTGACGTAGCTGAGTGTGAAAATAGTTGGTAGTGATAGTATTTAGGAGGTATCAGGACGAGATTGTAAATGATGTTTCTTCTCTTCGTACTTCATCTTTTGAGATTTCAATTTTTTTTTCAATGTTTGGTCAAATACAATGGAACAAGAGTTGTTGCGTTAAGGTGTGGTGTGCATGCGGAGTGATGTTACGCGGTGGTCGTGCCAAAGATGGTGCATATATCGTTGGTGATTCAGTGATATATTCGGGTTCAAATTCACCGAATGAAACAACACCACCTATTGACAAATCGGTAGATCGACTTGACTTCGAGCTTAGGGTATGCGCAATGCTGTGCTTCTAGCGCTACTAGCCGTAATGCAGTTCTAGACAGGCCGATAACACTGCTTGCTGAAAATGATGACGAATTTCTAAAATCAGTATGGAAATGAAAGCGCTTTCATATGGTTTTCGACCTCGTTGCGAGGAATCTCGGTTTTTTTGGAATAATCCAATGGAATTTTTTGTTGCATTCTCATATTTTGAAACTTGTACAAGCGTGGAGTGCTTTTTAGTTGGCATATGCGTTCTGTATTTTAGAGTTTCATGATAACAATTATGTGACGCATTGAGTGCTTCTGAAGGCATCTATTCGCTTATCACTGATCTCTTCTATATCTTATTACCTATCAGTTAAATTGAAGAATACTCTTCAACGTGTTCGTTGAATATTTCCTTACCAAATGATCTAAAGAAATAGTGAAAATTTGTTTGTGATTAGCGGACGTTCACTAAACTTTTCGAGCAGCATTTAAACGCTTCGTTCGCTTCTCGTCACAGTGATGCGAAAAATCTTATCACATTAACACAATTGATCTGCAGCGCCATCTAAACCGTAATCATCGCATACTTCAGCTTACTTATTACTTATCATATTGCTTGCTTTTAGCTATATTTCTTCATTGACATTTCATTATTACATCTGAATAATGGTTGACGTCAATCACTTTCAAGTTGCTTCCTTTATGAGCTTCACGAGCTCGCTATTGTTTCTATGGTCACTTTGATTTTTTCTGCATGAAAAGAGCGTTTTTTGCTGGTTTGAGGCTTGATTAAGGCTTGATCTTTGAACAATTGAATCAGTTGATTCTTCAGTTCAAAATTCTCCTTTCAGGTCGCACTTCGAGAAACTCGTGAGATGGAGATGTTACCGTGGGAGAGTTCGAGTCTTCTTTGGGTTTGCAGTTCGAATAACGGTCGAAGTCATGTGGCAATAGTGGATGCAAATAATCCGAATAGTGTCATCGAAGCATTTCCGGTGTGTTCTGCGCATTTGCTGTGTGTCAGTTCTGTTCCTGGTTCGTTCGCTTCACTTCATTTCANTTCATTCAAATTCAATTATCTTAATATTAGTGATATTGAAACATAATCATTCGCATTCTTCTCGTTCGGAGAAGTGTCGACGAACATTCGTTCTCATAGAACATTCATCTTCGTCAGCACAGTGATTCGCAAGTGAGCATTTATCAGAACGATTATGTGTTCTAATGACTGTCGTCACTATCTCATCTATTGCAAACTTTCCTGCTGAATAATAACTATGTAAAGGAGTACGGGAGTCGGATTACCCACCCGATGATAGTGACTGGAAAAGTTTCGTGCGAGGTGGAGGATACGTTAAGGATCTTCCAGCGGATATCACTGAATCCGAAGAATTTGGAGCTGTACAATGGGTGAGTTATCCACCGCAGTGATTCGCAATACAATATTCGATTATGTTTCAGTACACTTGTTGATTCAACATTAAACATAGTAATGAATATGCTGAAAGTTCAAGCTGAAAGCAGATTCTCAGTGAGAGTTTAACGATCTTTCGTAGAGTTATCGTGATACAACTGACTCATTCAGATTGAACTTCGAAAATTGGATTCAGACGAAGATCCAACGCCAACATACTGCGGTCCAGGTCAGAAGCCTTCACCGACGCGATCACGAGATTGTAAGCGGATCTCCTTTCTCGAACAGTTTCATTAACGGATTGTCATATTCAGTCAAACCTTGCAGCGTCTTCATCATGTCCTTTATTTCAATATCGCTCTTGTCAAAAACAAAGCCCTCTTTAAATGCTCCTCGAATTGCATGTTCGCATGTTGTCGTGTAACACTTATCGTGGTGGTTGCTTCTTGGCTTGCTCTTCTCATCTTATTCCCATCCCAACTTGCCTCAATTTTTGCACTCAAAATGATTTCATTTTTTTCATTTCGTTTGTGAAACTATCTCTCGAAATTGCTGAAAATTTTGAGCGAAATAATTTATTGTTTTGGAATGGTTTTTTGGAGGAGGGCACTTTTCTGAGCGATTGTATTGATATTCTTTGGAATGTTTTTCTTTGATTTGGATGTAGATACATGTGTTGCAAAGCCAATTCTGACATTTGCGGTACAGAACTCAATCTTAAGATGTTAAACATGTGCTCGTAAAGGTGGGCTAAAACTTGTACAATATTACGTCTTAGCAGAACTTCGAAAATTTCGTTTGTTATTGGAGGAGGGCACTTTTCTGAGCGATTGTATTGATATTCTTTGGAATGTTTTTCTTTGATTTGGATGTAGATACATGTGTTGCAAAGCCAATTCTGACATTTGCGGTACAGAACTCAATCTTAAGATGTTAAACATGTGCTCGTAAAGGTGGGCTAAAACTTGTACAATATTACGTCTTAGCAGAACTTCGAAAATTTCGTTTGTTATTGAGCTTAATTTGCTGAGTATAATGTTGGTTTTGTCAAGCCCTTTGTTTCGCTTTGCAAACGAATGGATTTTTGCTCGATTTCAGTTAGCCTTTGTGAATCAACACCAGTTGCAAGTACATCCGACCCTGCTGAGCAAGGACTTAATGCGGTCTCTGAAATTGGTGAGTTTTGTCAATGATCACGTCGGTGGATTTGTGAAACGCTTGTATGTTCAGATGAATGTCGATCACTTTCAAATGTATTTCATAAAAGAGAATATGCAACGTTCCGTGGGTGTACGCACAAAACTCTTTTGTGAATTTGAAATGAGTGCGTAGAAATCACTCGAAATGCTTTCCTGTGATATCCGTCGGGTTGTCGAGTGCGTCGGCACAATTTATCCATCTACTTTTCCTCAGCTAGCTCCCTTGATCAGTGTAGTTCAAGTTGTGTTTGCGATTCGTTTCAGCAAATGATACGAAATTTAAGTGGTCTGCATTCTTATTGATGCCATTCATTTAATTTCGTTTAGAGTTTTTCTATTGAATCTGCTTCGGCACCAGTAGAAATCCCACAAGTTAACTTCAGTTCGAGGATGCACGTTTGAACTTATTATCATAAATTGCTCCATTTTTCCTGTGTGCCAGTAGTTGTCAATTTTTTTTTTCAAGATGCTGCTGTTTGTGATATTTTCAATCTTATTGCTGTGATGAGTAGTAATATTACGTAGAATGATTCTGCTTTCGAAATTATTTGTTATTGCGTTTCACCACTGTTTTTGCTGCTTCGAAACTGAAGAGAATCTCAGAAAAATTTTTTTTACTTGGTTCTGAATTATGCATAAGTTTGATCCTTTTCTGATGGTATTCGCAGGCAAGATGTAGTAGGATTTAAACATACTTCTGGTATGGAAATAAGTCTTTGGAAAATCTACAGAATCAGAACCAAAATTCATCAAGAGATTCTTAAAAATTTTTATTGAAACAAGCCTAGTCTTATAACTGTTCTTCTCTTTCTAGTCCTACTGGAAGCAATTTTAAATGCCTTGAATTTCAGATAAGACATGTTTCGAAATTTGAGATGCATAGATAAAATGTGTTTCTCTATCAAAATAAATACGACTAGTCGTATTAGATTGGTTTATGTTGTGTTCAGTTAGTACCTTTCCTGAGTCGATGTTCGTTTCATTCGATTACATTTGAAGTGACGATGCATGTTTGAACGATTGCATTGCATCAATTCGTTGGGATAGTGTCATGAATGCAATTTAATGAGTTGCTGCTCTCGATCATATCCTGTGATCATCTTATGTTCCTGTTTGGTTGCTGTCATGTGAATGCTTCAGAACATTAGGTTTTGCGCACAACAGAGACGTTCTTTTTGTGCTTGGATACTATACTTTTCAGACAACTGATCGCTTCTTTATCCTCTCATTTTAATTCCAATTTTTTTTTTCATTTTTTAACTTTCTTCCTTCATAAATGATCATTTACTGTTCTAAATCTAATTTCCATATTCAGTTGAATCTTCCAAAAATATTTGACTCTTTTTTCACAAATCAGATTCAGTGTTATTATGTCTTCAAATCAAATTAATTATTCACTATAAAATTAGATGTTCGCAATAATTCTTAATCAGTATTTACCTCTATCGAGTCTTTTGAATCCTAAAATTTTTGGAGATTTTTTCTTCTATTCAGTTTTCTCGAAATTCCAAGAAGCTGAGCTATTTGCATTCAGTTATTACTGTTTCCTTTGAAATTTGCCAACAAATTACAGTGAAAAAATCGTATGAGAACAATT